AGAGAGAGAGAGAGAGAGAGAGAGAGAGAGAGAGAGAGAGAGAGAGAGAGAGAGAGAGAGAGAGAGAGAGAGAGAGAGAGAGTTGGAACGATACAGAGAAGATAAGCATGTCGAAAAAAAAAGGTGCGAATGTATCTGACACAGATAATGGACCAGATACATTCGCACTTTGGTGGGCCGAGCAGCAGACACAGAGGGGGAGAGAGAGAGAATGGGGCGGGCGTTAATGGGGCACGAGGCGCAGTGGGTGGCTTTTCCTGTTCTGACAAAGTGGGATCGTTTTCCAGCCCGAACCTATTCCCGCCAGAAGCCAAAAACGAAAAAGAAACAAAAAAACAAGAAAAACTGGAGGGCCTGCTACCGGTACCTGCTCCCAGGCCAGGCCACTGGATAAAGGGAGGTACCACTATCCCAGGCCACCTCCCGTTTTTGCCACTTATGAGCTGGTAGGCCGGGAGACTCGCCTCGGCGGAGGCAGTGTAGGGCTGGAGGGGGGAGGGGCAGGGGGAGGGAGGGGCGATCTCTCTTGAAGACTTCTAACATCCAGTTTAGTATTTCTTTCCATTCGGTTCGCCTCTCGAGGAGGTTGTAGGAATAGGTGATATCTGGCAAGTCATCCTTGATCCTCCTGCAAAGGGTGGTCGAAAATTCGGTGGCCCTCGAAGACCGATGCTGGAGCAACGCTAGCCGGAGCCGGAGCCAGGTGGCACAACTCTGTGACCTAGCTTAGTGGGGGCGTGAGGCCTGGTAGAGAGATCTGGGGGGCTGTTTGCGGGGGCAGTCTCAGTGGTCATCGGGGGTCATAATTGAAGCAATGCTGGGCGGTGCTGGAGCAAGGTGGTGCAACTCTGTAACCTAGCCTGATGGGAGCATGAGGCCTGGAAGAGCTTCGGTTCGTGCTGAAAACGGCCATGCTGGTGGGTGGTCGAAGGTGGATTGAATAGGTTTCACCTATCTGATTCGTGGTTGGGAGGCTTGTTGACACACATCTCTTGAATGTTTCTGACTTTTTTCTTTTTCTTCAATTAGCCGAAGCCGGGTAATGGCCCCGGTAGCTCATTTTTATTGTCTGAATAAGAGGGGATGAGAAAAAGAGGAGGAGAGTGGTTGGCGAGAATAAGGGAATTATCATTGGTCTTTGCTGGTGTACATCTTCTTCTTCTTCTTTCTTTCTTCTTCTTCTTCTTTCCCTCTCTCTCCTCTCAAGTTCATTAATTTCTTTTTGCAATTGTAGGCATTGTGCTTTCTCAGTAAAGCTGCTAATGAAGGTGGTTGGAAATCAATTACACTATCGGATTTGGAAAGGATGGTGGATTTTTTGTTGAAACATGTTTTCTTTCGGTCACTGGATGAAATTCTGAGACAACACATTGGTATTCCAATGGGAGGGCACGCAAGCCCAGTATTGGCATGCTTGGTATGTATGTTTGCAGAAAACAGATTTGTTAAAGGTCTGGGGAACGAAAGAAGACTGGTAAGTGGGAAAAGGTTCATTGATGATCTGCTGTTAATTACATGGTACAAAAGGAAGGACAGGAAGCAAGCAAAAGAAAGACTAGAAAAGATCTTGAACTGTTACCACGAAAAGCTAAGATTGCAACGTACTGATGATGGGAACAATATTGCAGATTTTTTGGAAACAAGAATCATAGTAACAAACAATCCTAGCCGGATACTAAGTGCGCACAGGTTTAAAAACTTCAAAGGCATTTGGAACAGAGGGGAGAATAAAATATTCACAACAAAAAGTTTTGAATCACATGGCTCAACAGAACAAAAGATGTCATTTATTATCGGGAATATGCACCGATTGAACGCAAACACTTCAGAACCAGCGATGCTGGTAATTGGCATGTTAAACTTTCACAGGGAGCTTTGCGCGCAAGGATTCCCGAGTTATATGTTTGTGGAAGCAGCAAGGAAAGT